GGGTCGGCCGAGGTTCCTTTTCCGCGTCCCAAACTGCCTCCCTTCCACACCCGCCCTGGGGCCCGCTGCCGGGGTGTGGAGAGAGCATTGTCGCCCCCTCATTACCGACCTCAGAGCTAAACTCATTTTCTCTTCGGACAGAGACGTTCCTCTCAAGAGAGATTTTAACCCCCTACTCAAGGTAGCACGACTTCTTCAAGCCGTTCAACAGATACCAACGACCACCCCTTCCTCAAGGACCTCCCACAAGATAGACACTTCTGAGCTGGATTGGTTGAAATTGCTCATGTCCTGCCCATTGTGGCGGAAGCGTCTCTAGCCTTCTTCTCTCATTGGGTATATTTCGCGTCAATCAAAGAAACCGCTCTGCCTTTAGATTGGCCCATTGTGTTTTCCCCGAATCCTTTGCGGAGCAAGGATTCCGAGGCCGGCGGGGCGATTGGGCGGGTGGGTGCGCCGCGCCTCACGTGCGGGGGCCTCCCGCCTGTGGGTCAGTGTCCGGAGGACCGACGGGCAGCTCCGAGGGAAGGTTGCGCGTCCTCCCGTTTGATTCCCGGTCAGGGCACAGGCCCGGATTCTGGGCTGGATCCCCAGCAGGGGCATGCAGGAGGCAGTCGATCGTTGGTGTCCATGTTTCTCTCCCTCTCCCTTCCCCTCTTGAAAAAATCAATTAAAAAAAAATTTTTTTTTAATGCATTTAATACACCTAACCTACCAAACATCATAGCTTAGCTTATGCTACCTTAAGTGTGCTCTGAACACAGTATCCAAAAAGCCTGGCAACAGTGTACGCTGTAGAGCCTCAGTCCTTGACCCTGAGGCTTGCGCGGCTGGCTGGGGGCTGCGGCTTGCGTCGCGGCGCCGCCTCTGGAGAGAGTGTGGTACTGCTGCTGGCTTACTGCTCTGCCAGAAAAGGTCGAGATTTGAAGCACAGTTTCTACTGAACGTGTATCAGTTTCACACCATCATAAAGTCGGAAAATCCTAAATTGAGGCATTTTTAGGGACTGTCCAAACTGAGATGTAATGGCAATAATAAACTATACATTAAAATTGTAAGGCCTAGACCAAGAAATAGAAGAAAATCATTTTATTATGAAATAAGAGAGAATTAAACTATTTATTTGAAGTAGTTAGAAATGAAGAACAAAATAAACTGAAACTAGGAGAAATTACTAAAGATAGCAAAGGAATTAGAAAACAGGTTTGATAAAATACGCTTGAAAGCAGTGATTGGAGAAAATATATGAATGATTTAATAATAAAAATAAAATCTAAAAAGTACTATGAAAGGGCTTGAGGAAGTGCTTTAATAATATTGGAATCATGAAGTCCAATCTAACTATAGCACGAAAGCCAGATGCTATGTGTTATGGGCTGAATTGTGTCTCCTCCAAATTCATACCCGAAGCACTAACCCCCAATGTGACTGCATTTGGAGGTAGGGCCTTTAAATATATCTTTATTGATTTCAGAGAGAGGACAGGAGAGGGAGAGAGAGAGATAGAAACATCAATGATGACAGAGTCATTGATTGAGCCCACAACCCAGGTATGTGCCCCAACCAGGAATCGAACCCCAATCACCTAGATCCTAGGTCGAGGCTCAGCCGCTGAGCCATGCCCGGCAGGGCTGGAGATAGAGCCTTTAAAGAGGTAATTAAATTTAATGAGGTCATAAGGGTGAAGCCCTAATCCAGCAGGACTGATGTACTTAAGAGAAGAGGTAGAGACACCAAAGGATGTGCTCACACAGAGTGAAGGCTTTGTGAGGACACAGCAAGAAAGTAGCCATCTGCAAGCCAAGGAGGGTGGCCTCCAGAGAAACCAGCCCTGCTGGCACCTTGATCTTCAACTTCCAGCCTCCAGAACTGTGAGTAAATAAGTTCCTGTTGTTTAAGCCACCCAGTCTGTGGTATTTTGTTATGGCAGCCTTAGAAGACTCATACAATAAGAAAAGATTGACAGATTTTACTGTATGAAAATGAAACATTTCTGTATGACAAAGACTACATTAAGCAAAGTAAATAAGCACACAAAAGCGTGGGATTGGAGGTAAGATAACTGCTTTAAAAAATGGTAGGATCTTCTATTTGTGATGGATAACTGTATCTCCACGTATTTCCAAAGAATACCATGCAGATGACTTACTGGTCCCAAGAGAGAAAATGTAATTTTACCAGTATAATATAATTGTCTAAGTTAGCATTGCCAGTTAGAGTGTTACCAGATATATGTCTGCCGATGTAATTCAGTATGAAGTACCCAACCCTCTTACATCATTTAACCAAGAATGTTTAGCTTGAATTTAATTAAACATTAATACCTACTTTCCCGCTTATAGGAAATGTAGGAGATAAAGAAACCACTTTAAAAAAAAAAAAAAAAAAAGACACCGTGAGGAAACAATCAGACAAATCCAGAAAGTAACACATTCTGTAGGAGACAACTGTCCATTCTCTTCAATAAGTCAGTGCATGGAAAAGGGGACTGACCTAGATTAAAGAGGACTTAAAAGACATTACATTACAACCAGATAGATGCCTTGTCCTGGATTAGATACTAGTTTGGACAAAGCTGCTGAAAAAGGCATTGTGGAGACAATAGAGGAAATTTCCATATGCACAGGGAATTAGGTGATATAAAGAAATTATCATTAATTTTGTATGCATTCTAACATTTTGTTCATCTATGAAAATGTTCTCTTTTTTAGAGACACAAACTATGTCTGAGGTGAAATACCTATCCTTTACTTTAAAATAGAATACAAAAACAGTTTAAAAATTAAACGGTACAATGATAAATTCTATGAAGAAAATAAAACAGGGGAATGAGAGAGGAGCTGACCAGGGATTAAGTGCTGCAGAATGAGAAGGTCTGTGAGACAGTGACTTTTGAGCTGAGATACTAAATGATTACCAGCTGTGTCAGATCAGGTCCTTTGAAGTCCAGATGACAAGATAGGATTAGTTGTGAAAAAGACTAGGAAATGCATCTATGAAGGATAAATATGTGGCAAGAAGAAGGCAGAAGAGTCTTCAAACTACAATACAGCTCTGATACCTGGGAAAGGAGAGCAGGAAGGAAACAGGACTGGGTAGGAAAAGCTTTAGAGTGCAAAGCGTTTGTGAGAAAATCTTAGGCCAAGGAGGATCCCCAGAATAAAAATTGCCCTGTAGAGGAGTCTTATGTTAGGCAGGATAGCCAAGATCTAGTATCTGTACTGTACTTGGTCATTGATTAGGTGCAGCCCAAGGTGAGTATGGCCTTAGCACGAGAGGATCTGAAGGTATGGCAGCTGGAAGGTATTAGCTGTGCTCCTCACAGCTAGTTCTCTTAAAAGGAGCCCTCATTACTGCTGTGCAAGGCTTGCAAAGGTCTGAATGGAGAGTGTATCAAAAAGAGAGGCGGTGCCCTGGCCGGTGCAGCTCAGTTGGTAGGGAGCATTGTCGCATACACTGAAGGGTCTCAAGTTCAATTCCCAGTTCCCAGTCAGGGCACATACCTAGGATGTGGATTCAATCCCAGGCCCCAATTGGGGCACGTGTGGGAAGGAACCGATTCATGTTTCCTTTCTCATGTCAATGTTTCACCCCCCTGCTCCCCTTCCCCTCTCTCTAAAAATCAATGAAAATGTGCCCAGGTGAGGATTAAAAAAAAAAGCAAGTGGCAAAGGCAAAAGCCCTAAGATAGAAACAAGGTTGGTATATTTAAGGAAAGGAAAGAATTCAATCATTTGAAGCATATAAAGAGTGGTACAAGAAGTCAGATTGATAAGCATAGTCCTAATCATATAGAGCCTAATAGACCATGATGAAGGGGTGAATTTTATTTCATGTAATGGAAATCCATCAGCTGGTTTTAAGCAGTGAATTATTATGGCTTGATTTAGGTTTTAGAGCCAAACTTCCTGAAACATTAATCTATATTTACAGCATGCATTTCCGCATATCTTATTTTCTCCCAACCCACAACAAATCTGACTTACATCCTTACCTCTCTACTGGAAGTGCTTTTACTAAGTCACCAAAGACTTCTTAATTGCTAAGTTCAATTGTATCTTGGCAATTACCATTCTAGTTGTCCCCGGGGTCACATCTGCATGTTGACCATTCACTTCTTAAAACTGCTCGTGGCTGCTTTTTACTACTCCTTCCTAGTTTCCTGTGATAGCTTTTCTTCATCCACTCCCTAAATGTTTTGGGTGAGTTTTGTGGTTTTTTGAGAATTATGTTCTTAATAGTTTCTCCTATTATCACTAGGACCTCTCATCTCCAAAATTTCTCATTTTTTCCCCACTAGCCCTCTACTTTCAGTGTTCAAACCTAGATTTCCATCCTAATAGAAACTAATATACCAAAACAAAATTATTATCTTCTTCTAAAGACTTCTTATGCATAGAGATATCTTGGATAATGGCATCACCGGTCACCCAGTTCATATAACTCCTTGGAATAATACTTAACTCCTTACTTCTGTCAAAGTATAGTTTTCAAATTTAAAGGTATGACTATTAAACAAATATAGAATGAATGTGTCTCCAAGATCTATTTAACTCTTCAGTGAGGAAATCAACAGGATGATAAAGCTGGTTCACAGAAAAATTAGACAAACTAGTATCCACAGGCAGTCACAAAAGGCAAGCTGAAGTAAGTTTGCTAAGTTACAATGTCCTACATGTCAAAATAAACTGCAGCCTTTGGAGTTAAATTCTTTACCAGACTAACATTGCATCTATAGGGCAAAAATCTACAAGTTAATATTTTATACAGTCTTAGCCCTAATCAATGCCAAATAACAAATCAAAGGTAAGCCTCCTAGAGAATTGAATATTCATAGGATAGATCTATTAAGCAATATTCCATAATGACATACAGCCACACTTTGGTGTTATTTTTAGTTTTTGGATATTTTTTCTTACACTTTTCCTTGATCCCACATCACCATCAAGTGGTGATAGAGCTAAATTTTGAAGACAAATTTGCCTGACTCCAATGCCAATGTTTTTCCCCATAAAAAATGTGAGTGGTCAGCAAATTCAAGTAATGTACGGAAGATGAACAGGAATAAGTATTGAGAAAAGGCTTCTGGTTTTCAAAATTAGTAATCACAATAAGTAAGAAAGTATGGCGTTGGAGAAAGGATAGAAAAATATATCGATGGAGTAGACCTACTCATAAAGTCAGTTAATTTACCACAGAGACACTAATAAAATTCATTGCGAAATAAAAGACCTTGCAATAAATGCTGCTGC